ATTCAGCCTGGAGTGGCAGCCAGAAGGCCCTAGAGCAAGTCTAATTTAATCCCATAATGGAATGTCACTCAGATAAGGCTTTTATCAGCCCTTCCTGGGCTATGGAACAAAAGGATCATCCCAGAGACATGAAGAGATACTTTCTATTGTCCTGGGGTTTTCCAGAGGTCCCAGAAAGCATGACCCCACTGGACAGTCTAGAATAAAGTGAAAGTATCAAAGGGCATTTAACCCAGATTTTCAGGACTAAGGCAACAGAAACAGGAGGAGGAGGCTGGGGATTCCACACATGCAGGCAGAGGGCATCAAACTCTAATAACACGTAAAATAATAACAATAGGCTGGGCACAGTGGCTCATGCCTGTAATCTCAGCACTTTGGAAGGCTGAAGTGGGCAGATCACCTGAGGTCAGGAGTTTGAGACCAGCTTGGCCCACATAGTGAAATCCTGTCTCTACTAAAAATACAAAAGCTAGCTGGGCATGGTGGTGCATACCTGTAATCCCAGCTACTTGGGAGGCTGAGGGCAAGCAAATGGCTTGAACCTGAGAGGTGGAGGTTGCAGTGAGCTGAGACCACGCCATTGTACTCTAGCCTGGGCAACAGAGCAATAATCTGCCTCAAAAGAAAAACATATAGCTGGGCATGGTGGCTCACACCTGCAATCCCAGCACTTTGGGAGGCTGAAGCAGGCAGATCACTTGAGGTTGGGAGTTCGAGACCAACCTGGCCAACTTGGAGAAACCCTGTCTCTGCTAAAAATACAAAAACCCTGCCTCACTTTGGGAGGCTGAGGCAGGAGAATCCCTTGAACCCAAGAGGTGGAGGTTGCAGTGAGCCGAGATCACGCCATTGCACTCCAGTCTGGGCAACAAGAGCAAAACTCCATCTCAATATATATATATATATATATATATATATATATATATATATGTATAATAGCAATAATAATGGCTATTATTTATTAGGCACTATGCTAAGCACTTAAATGCAATATCTGACAAAATGCCTGTAGAGCATGTGCCATTTATCAATCTTATTACAGAAGCAGAAATCAGACTCAGATATGTAAGTTACCTGCCCAAGATCACACAATCGCAAAGTGGGAGAGAGGGAATTTATATGTAAACCTGCCTCCTTCTACTGTCCTCCAGCCTTACCATGGTGCTGATTGCTGGTAATTGCTATGGTTCACACACTGCTCAGCTCCTGAATCTTTGTTTGCCAGAACCTCACATGCTTCCTCTCTTCCTGGAAGAATTCCAGGAAGCTTTATGTAACCACAAGCAGCAGCTACCCCATCACCCCAAAAGGGAGGAAATAAAAGATAAAGCAAGGTGACCTGACCAATTAGGAGTAGTGGGGCCATCCACCCCACTCCTCTCAATTCCCAGGGGCAGCCACACCAAAGGCAAAGTACAGTCTGGCCTTCTGCCAATTGCTTTCTCTTTCTCACTCCTCATCCCCCAGCCCCAACCTCTCCACCCTTACTTCTCATTTTTCTCTAGATCAACTTTTCTTTCCAGGCTCTTACCCCACTGGTCTTGTTCATTCTAAGTACTCACTGTTAGCAATAGTTTGGGAATTCACGTCCCTTGCCAGACAGGAACATATACAATGCAATATTAATAGTAATAACAGCTAACACTTACTGAGCACTTACTATGTGCCAACCACATTTCTTTCATCTAGAGCTGGAAAATGCAGGCAGAATGTACAGGAGCTTTTATGTCAATTATAACAAGACTAAGTCAGACAAGAGAAGGAATCTAATATTCCATGACTTTTCTGCATTAGGCTCAGTATCCTCTCAGGAGGCAGAAGAGCGTGGTAACAAAGAACATCGACTCTGGACTCAGGCAGACTAGGATCTCCATTACGAACTAGCTATACATTTATACACAAGCAAATTCTCTGAGTCTCTCCTATGGTTGATTAAAGAAATGATGTGGGAGGATGGCTAGAGCCAGGGGAGGTGAAAGTTGCAGTGAGCTGAGATTGTACCACTGCACTCCAGCCTGGGCAACAGAACCTTGCTAAAAACAAAAACAAAAACAAAAACAAACAAAAATCGAAAAAAAAAAACAATAATAATAGTCATTAGTTAAGATTAGGTTCATACTGGAGTAGGGTAGACTGCTAATTCAGTAAAACTGGTATCCCTATTTTAAAAAGGAGTTAAATGGGATACACACACACACACACACACACACACACACACGCAGGGAGAATGTTATGTGAAGATTAAGACAGAGGTTGTGGTGGTGCTTCTATAAGCCAAGGATTGCCAGCAAACTGTGAGAAGCTAAGGGAGAAGCATGGAACAGATACTCCCTCACAGCCCTCAGAAGAAAACAACCATGCTGCCATCTTGATTTTGGCCTTCTGGCCTCCGGAACTGTGAGACAATACATTTCTGCTGTTTAGTCACCTACTTTGTTGTACTGTCATGACAGCCTTTGCAAACTAATACGTGAAACAAACAAATCTAAAAATGCTGCCCTTCTGGCTCTCCCAGTGATCTTTCACACCCAAGCCCAGATATTCATGTCTAAAAGTGCTTGTGTCCAACCATTTCTTTTTTTTTTTTTTTTTTTTTTTTTTGAGACGGAATTTCGTTCTTGTTACCCAGGCTGGAGTGCAATGGCGCGATCTCGGCTCACCGCAACCTCCGCCTCCTGGGTTCAGGCAATTCTCCTGCCTCAGCCTCCTGAGTAGCTGGGATTACAGGCACGCACCACCATGCCCAGCTAATTTTTTGTATTTTTAGTAGAGACGGGGTTTCACCATGTTGACCAGGATGGTCTCGATCTCTCGACCTCGTGATCCACTCGCCTTGGCCTCCCAAAGTGCTGGGATTACAGGCTTGAGCCACCGTGCCCGGCCGTGTCCAACCATTTCTATTATAACAGCTCCCACCAACTATGCCTCCAAGAGCAGGTAGAACAATGTGGAAAGCCCTTGACCGAAAGGTCCCAACAAGCACAGTAGCTTTAAGTCCAATCAACTACAACCATGTAATTAAAAATAATTCCTGCTTATGTCTGAAGAGCTTTAAATAAAGTTTGGAATTATTGAGCTATTTCACCTTAATGTTTCTTGCTCTGTCTCTCAAGCTAGAGTACAGTGGCACAATCTTGGCTCATTGCAACCTCCACTTTCCGAGCTCATGTGATTCTTTCATCCTAGCCTCCTAAGAAGATGGGATCATAGGTGTGCGCCACCACGCCCAGATCATTTTTGTATTTTTAGTAGAGACGAGTTTTTACCATGTTGGCCAGGCTGGTCTTGAACTCCTCACCTCAAGTGATCCTCCCACCTCAGCATCCCAAAGTGCTGGGATTATGGGAGTGAGACACAGCACCTGGTCATTAGTGTTATTTTAATATGGAATAGTAATTGGGATACATTGGTTATTATGGTTCAGGGACTTTGCTAAGCACTTTACCACCACATCCTCCCACTTCAGCCTCCCAAGTAGCTGGGACTACAAGAACATGCCACCATGCCCAGCTAATTTTTCTTTTTATGTTTTGTAGAGACAGGGTTTCACCGTGTTGCCCAGACTGCTCTCAGTCTCCTGGACTCAAGAGATCCTCCCGCCTCAGCCTCCCAAAGTGCTGGGATTACAGGCATGAGCCACTGTGTCTGGCCCCTCTTAACTAATTACATCTCCAATGACTATTTCCAAACAAGAGCACATTCTGAAGCACTGGGTATTAGTACTTCCACATGTGAATTTATTCGGGGGACATAATTCAATCGATAATACTTCAGGACTTCTTGACTAAGCTCATAATATTAAACTTCAAAAAAATTTAGAATTCAGGCCAGTTGTGGTGGTTCATGCCTATAATCTCAGCACTGTGAGAGGCCAATGCAGGCAGATCAGTTAAGTTCAGAAGTTTAAGACCAGCCTGGTCAACATGGTGAAACCCCATCTCTACTAAAAAAATACAAAAAAAAAAAAAAAAGGCTAGGCCCAATGGTTCACACCTATAATCCCAGCACTTTGGGAGGCCGAGGTGGGCAGATCATTTGAGGTCAGGAGTTCGAGACCAACCTGGCCAACATGGTGAAACCTTGTCTCTACTAAAAAACTATATACAAAAATTAGCCAGGTGTGGTGGCATGGGCCTGTAGTCTCAGCTACTCAGGAGGCTGAGGCAGGAGAATCACTTGAACCAGGGAGGCAGAGGTTGCAGTGAGCAGAGATCACACCACTGCACTCCAGCGTGGGTAACAAAAGCGAAATTCTGTCTCAAAAACAAACAAAACTAGCCAGACATCATGGCAGGTGCCTGTAATCCCAGCTACTTGGGAGGCTGAAGTGGGAGGATTGCTTGAGCCTGGCAGGGAGACAGAGCCTGCAGTGAGCCAAGATTGCTCCACCGTACTTCAGCCTGGGCGACAGAGCAACATTCAGTCAAAAAAAAAAAAAAAAAAAAAAAAAGAAATTAGAATTTGAAGATGTTTCTTCCTGTGGTCCTGTTGAGTTTCTATGTCCATGAACCCCTCTACTCCATCCTTTTCAAAAATCAACATTTTACTTTTCAACGCCTTCTGGATTATTTATTTATTTATTTATTTTAAGAGATGGGATCTTACTCTGCTGCCCAAGCTGGAGTCCACTGGTGTAATTATAGTTCACTGCAATCTTGAATGCACCCACTGCCATGCCTGGCTAGTTTTTGTATTTTTAGTAGAGACAGGGTTTCATCATGTGGGCCAGGCTGGTTTTGAACTCCTGACTTTAGGTGATCTGCCCGCCTTGGCCTTCCAAAGTTCTAGGATTACAGGCATGAGCCACCATGCCCAGCTAAGTTTTGTATTTTTAGTAGAGACAGGGTTTCACCACGTTGGCCAGGTTGGTCTTGAACCCTGACCTCAAGTGATCCACCTGCCTTGGTCTCCCAAAGTGCTGGGATTACAGGTGTGAACTACCACTACCGGCCCACAGTTTTTGTTTGTTTGTTTGTTTTTTTGAGATAGAGTCTTACCCTCCTTTTCTTGGCGGGGACTGGGCTTGCGGTCCCGCTGCCCGTAACGTACAAAGGAAGAGGGAAAGGGCTCTGGCTCCCTCGGTGTCATGTCTTTGGTGCCGGTGACTTTCCATCTGCTGGTTCTATCCTCAAGCACCGAAACACCGGGCATTAAAAAAAAAAAAGAAAAGAAAAAGAGAGACAGAGTCTTGCTTTGTCGTCAGGCTGGAGTGCAATGGCGAAATCTCGGCTCATTGCAATCTTCGCCTTCTGGGTTCAAGTGGTTCTTCTGCCTCAGCTTCCCGAATAGCTGGGACCACAGGCACGTGCCACCATGCCCAGCTAATTTTTGTATTTTTATTAGAGACGGGGTTTCACCATGTTGGCCACGATGGTCTCGATCTCTTGACCTCATGATCCTTCCACCTCGGCCTACCAAAGTGCTGGGATTACAGGCGTGAGCCACTACTTACTTGGCCAACAATTTTAATAATGACTACTATTTCTTAAACTCTCACTCTAGTGTCTAATTTAATCTTCACAACAACTTTTCCAAAGAGGTACTATTATTCCTGCCTTATAGATGACAAACCTGAGGCTCAGAAAGATGAGGTAAGAAGTAGTCAGGTCAGCAGTGAGCTGGGATTGGAACCTGGGTCTGTTTGCTCCAAATCCTGTGCTATTAAGCTTTAGGGGTAGGAGGCTTATACTACTGTGGTAAAGAGCTGCCAAACTAGTTTAAAACCATAACATCAAATATATTTGTATGGTCTACAAACTTTTATAAACTGCACTGACGTCAATGACTCATATGCGCTCACAGCAAATTGCAGCAGTCAGTGTAGGCTCAAATGAAGAACCTTATCCCAGGGAACAGGTGAGACTCCCAGCCCCAGGCTCTAGGCTGTGGTAGCTAAAGACCTAATCTGTTATGTGCAGTTGTTCAGTCATCAAGGACAGTTTCTTTTTTCTTTCTTTCTTTTTTTTTGAGATGGAATTTCACTCTTATTGCCCAGGCTGGAGTGCAAGGGCACGATCTCTCTTGGCAAGGACAGTTTCTTGACCTCCACAGATTCTCTAGTCTCCAGGTTCTCCCAAGTCATTGGGGATTGTGTGAGTTGAGCTCCTATCCCCAACTCCTACACCTTTGCACCATCTCCCAGCAAACTTTGGCCTCTGTAACCTCTTTTCAGGTAATAGGATATGGTACCCCCCAAGTTCAGAAAGGAAAGCACAACAAGGATTTCTGGTTCAAGGAGAAAACTACCTCCTTTACATTTGGCTTATTTTCCATTAAGACGCAAATCAATCAGGAGAAAATTGCCCTCAGGACTGTTAAGCACACATCTTTGCTCAAATCAGGTCCTGAATGCATGTGTCAAAAGCACCTCACACTCCCGTTCATTGCCAGCCAAGTCTCTGGGGGCAGTCCAGTTGATTTGGAAGCATTCAGTCAGATCTAACATTCATTGCACATATCTTCTGTGTATTGTAGCTGCCAAGCTGGCCATCTGATTACTTCACATTCACTGGTCCAATGGGCAAGGTGAATCTACAGTGCAATAAGGAGAATACTCAGAAATGAAAGGCAGAGCTGCCATCCTCCACACTCCAGGATTCCCAAGCTGAAAAGACTGAAGGCACTAAAACTTCCCCAGGTTTTAAAGGAATCGGGGAAGGAACTGTCAGTGAACTGTCACGCAGGTGTTTAGCATAGATTAGCTTATTTTGTCTTCACAGTATCCCTACCAGGTAGATGCTATGATTACCTACATTTACAGGTATAAACAATATTTCAGCTATGGAAAGTAGAATTTTAAAACATAATAAATTATAAATAGGTTTTATAGGTGAGCCATTATCTTTAAAATGAATTTCTCCTACGGAAGCTACCTAGGAAGAGCTTTCTGGGCAGTGTGGTTCAGTGGTTATCATTTTTTAACTGCTTTGCCCTACTGTCATCTGCAGTAAACTTTAAGTATGAAAAACTTCAAGCATGTAAATTTTGTGGTCAGACAGATTTGGATACAAATAATGGCTCTTCCGGTAATCAGGAAAATGAACTCACTGAGTATTTCAAACAGTGAGAAGTTAATACTGTGGCTATAAGTTAATGGAAGAAGTGAGAAGACAAACAGGGGAAACTGGGGCAACCCAGAGATTAGCAAGAGCAGGAAACCACTACCATCCCTAGCATGGGGGCCAGAAGGAGACAGAGCCTGAAACTGACAAGGTTGTGGCTATCCTAGCTTCTTCTGTCCTCCCACCCTCAATCTTGTGCCTGTGGCTCCTATTGTCCAAACCCAGCCAAAGCCAGCGGACAAGAGAGCCTGGGAGAAGCAGCCTGCCTGGGGATGGGATGGGGATGGAGTGTAGGGGTAGCCTACCTGTGACACAGAGTATTAGAAGGAGAACAACGGATATGAGGGCAAACAGACAAATGATGAGCCCAGCTCTTGCTAGTTTCAAGTTCCTCCTTTATAACATTATTTCTTTTTTCTTTCTTTTCTTTTCTTTTTTCTTTTTTTTTTTTTTTTGAGACAGAGTTTCGCTCTTGTTACCCAGGCTGGAGTGCAATGGCGAAATCTCGGCTCACTGCAACCTCTGCCTCCTGGGTTCAAGCAATTCTCCTGCCTCAGCCTCCTGAGTAGCTGGAACTACAGGCGTGCGCCACCATGCCCAGCTAATTTTTGTATTTTTAGTAGAGATGGGGTTTCACCATGTTGACCAGGATGGTCTCAATCTCTTGACCTCGTGATCCACCCGCCTCGGCCTCCCAAAGTGCTGGGATTACAGGCGTGAGCCACCTGCGCCCGGCTTTTTTTTTTTTTTTTTTAGATGAATTCTTGCTCTAGTGCCCAGGCTGGAGGGCAATGGCACAGTCTTGGCTCACTATAACCTCTGCTTCAGGTTCAAGTGATTCTTCCGCCTCAGCCTCCCAAGTAGCTGGGATTACAGGCATGCGCCACCACACCCAGCTAATTTTTGTATTTTTTTTCTTTATTGATTGTCAATCATCCTTCAAAATATTTTTTGTATTTTTAGAAGAGACGGGGTTTCGCCATGTTGGCCAGGCTGGTCTTGAACTCTTGACCTCAGGTGATCCGCCCGCCTCAGCCTCCCAACGTGCTAGGATTACAGGTGTGAGCCACCGCACCCAGCTTATAACATGATTTCTATCTCACAGGGTTGTTGTGAGAATTAAATGAGCAAATGTAAGTAAAATGTTAGCACAGTTCCTGGCACTTAGTATGGAGGCAGCTACAAACTACATTTCTCCTAGAAGGGAAAACCAAGGTTCAGACAGATTAATTTACTCAAGGAAAAAGCCTGGGGAGCTGGGAGATCAGTATGATCTTGGGTAAGTCATTTCTCTGAGCCTCAGTTTCCTCACCCTACCAACTCCCTGGGCTGCTAAGCGGATTCATTCCTTGGGCAGATATGTACTGAGCACTTGCATCTTCCAGGCACTTTGGGTGCAGCTACACAAGGCAGACCCATTAAGTCCCGCTCTCCTGGAGTTTACAGTCTGGTCGGGAGAAAGATAGTGTACAGAACCACCTGCTTCTGCTTCTGCTTCTGCTTCTGCTTCTTCTGCTTCCTTCTTTCTTCTTCTTCTTCTTCTTCTTCTTCTTCTTCTTCTTCTTCTTCTGCTGCTGCTGCTGCTGCTGCTGCTGCTGCTGCTGCTGCTGCTGCTGCTGCTTCTGCTTCTGCTTCTGTTTCTTCTGCTTCTGCTTCTTCTTCTGCTTCTGCTTCTGCTTCTGCTTCTTCTGCTTCTGCTGCTGCTGCTTCTGCTTCCTTCTTTCTTTCTTCTTCTCCTCCTCCTCCTCCTCCCCTCCTCCTCCTCGTCCTCCCCTCCTCCTCCTCGTCCTCCCCCTCCCCCTCCCCCTCCTCCTCCTCCTCCTCCCTCTTCTTCTTCTGCCTCTTCTTCCTCTTCTTCATTTCATTTACTTTTGCATTTAGTTTGGGACAAAACTTTCTATAGATCACTATATAGTCCCGCTGTGATAAATGTCACGAAGTGCTGTGAGGGTGGGTGATATGATGGTCTGGCCTGGTCTAGGGAGGTCACGGCAGCTTCCCTGTGACTCGCCTGAACCTGCGGCATGAGCTAGCTGAGCGTGTTGAGGAGCCTGGGCTGAGGGCGCTGGAACAGCACCAGGGGCTCTTTGGAATGTTTAAACATTAACCCAGCCATCGCCATCGCGCCCCTGGCCTCCCCTGAGCCAGGCCGCGACACTCGCCTGCCTCCGAGGGCCTCCAGCAGTGAAGACGGGACCGCGCCCCGCCAGGACTCCGGGGCTACCCAGGAAGGGGTGCCCGTCCGGCCCGGCCTCCCGCCTCCGGCCCAGCTCTGACGCTCTGCCCGACCCGAGCCCAGAGTAGCAGCTGATGATCTGCTAATGCGTACGGAGTTTTCGTGGAGTTCGACCCTCGGCCCGCGACCCGCGCGGAGTTCGCGGTGGCGCTGGCCGAGCCTCTTAATTCCCTTTGTATCGATCCCAGCGTTAATGACATAACCTTCTCCCCTAATTAACTGACAACTGCATTAGGCGGCGCGCCTCCTCCGCACACCGCCCGCAGCTTCCCCCACGCGGTTCCACCCGCGCCGGTGTGGGGCTGGGGCGCAGCCCGGATTCAACCCAGGGTTCCACTGCCGTGGTGGAGACGAGGGGATATTGTTTCAGGATTGGGATGCCCCTGCCATCCACATCAGCTCAATAAACATCTGCCATTATTTATATATTGCTGCTGTTTATCTCTTTGCCACTTAACATACTGTAGCTTACTGTTTCACTAGGACCCAAGAGGCAGAGAGTGGAAATTGGGGCTTGGAGAGGTGAAGGTACATAGGCAATAGCCACGGATGTGCAGCAGGCTACCGGGAGAGGCAGGATTCCCAACCTCCTAAGTAGCCTTGGACTCCCAAGTTTGCACTGTTAAGCCCTAGGCTATCCTCCAACGTGTAATTTAGACCCTACTAAAGGTGTTATATGTGAAGTGCTTAGCAGAGTATGTGGCAGATAACGAGCACTCAGTAAATTTCAGTATGTCAGGCTAATTTATGGAAATACTAATTTGTGTTTATTCTCCTTTGCCTTCCCTTTCCTGGATGGCCAGTTCAGTCAAATGGCCAGGTTTTCCAATTCCTTGGGCAGCAGAAAAA